CATCGATGGAGCCTGAGCTACTACGTATTGCTGTGGCTGATGCTGCTGTCCCTGAGTGCTTGCGACAGCTACTGATTGTGACAGCACCTGTCTGCCCTTGCCTCCATCACCTCCTGTCATCACCCCTGAGGAGTCGGTGGTGATGGTGTTAGTGCCTGAGGATGCTTGAATGCTGAGAGGGATAACCTGCCAGCCGTTGGCACTAGTGGTGAAAACACCCTGGTTTAAGTCCAGCTGTTGCTGCTGGTTTTGTTGGTCTGAAGATGAATCGTTCTCTCCTGGGGTGTCAATTCGACTGCATGTGGCTGCCAACAAGGCAAGAGGAGATGGCTGCTGAGAGTCCTGGAAAGAGAAAGAAGACAGAAAGGAAAAAATAAGGACTTTGTATAGCAAAAAATACATCTCACTATCTAACATACACATTAATGCTGAAGGTGTGACAAAAAGTATAACTGGCTGTACAAATGTCCACACATATTTTGAGCAGTGTTACAATTACTGACAGTTCAAATTTGAAATAATACCAATGTAGTGATGCAATCCAACAATAATTTTCAAGCACTTTTATGAGAAAACTTAAAAAGTAGTACAAAATGTAATCAAGGAGGATAATTGTACAAGTGATAAAAAAAAACCAATACCCATAATTAAAAGCTGACCTGATAAAGATAAATGGGGGTTCGAGGAAGAACAACATTAAAAAGGGGCTAAGTCCAAGAGCCTGAACTAAGAGGGCAAATTAGGTTTTAAAAATAAACATTTTCACTTTAAAATTTTAAATTCCTTTAATGGAGTTTACATTCAAATAAATTATTTTTTAAAAAAATGTGCGACTGGCTTTTTAAATGCTACACACTCCCAATACGCCATTCATAAAATGAAACCTATTTCCTTTGATCACACAAGTCTCTTCCCAGCACTTCACAGAGAGTAGAGTGACCGGGGGGGGGAGCAGGGTGGGAGAGTATGGGAGGGACCGCATTTTTTTCCAGTGCAGCGGCGGGCTCGGCTTCCCCTCCCCCCAAACCCACCCATCTCCCTCCCACACTTTATTTTGCCCTATAAACTGAGACACTCCTCTAGCCACCCCCTCCAAACCCAGCCAAATGGGCCGAGCGAAATGCACATGAAGTGCCGGGGTTTGACGGGAACACCCCGTGTGGGCGAAATTTACCTGCCCATTCCCCACCCCAGTGACATGTGCTCTGGTGAGAAAATCAACAACGCGCTTCAAGTCGCCACACAAATGAATAACACAATCAAAACACACATAAAACACACAACAGGTCCAGTGGGTATGACCGGGGAGCACGGTTAATGTTTCAACAATGCTGACACTCGTGGGGATTTTTTTTGGCAAACAAGTCCGGTTAACCTACTTGTGAGTTTGTGTTTCGCTTTTGACTGAAGCCTCCACCGCTCTCCGCAGCGGCCATTTCACCCTGCTGCTGATCTGCGGAAGAAGAGTTTGTAAGATCACTTATCATTTAAAAAAAAAAAAAAAGTAGTTCAAACATCCAAGTTGATGTTACGGTCAACAATTTGAAGGATGAGAGAGAAAAACACACATAACACATAACGTTAATACGCACGGCTGACCTAAATAACGCCACATTTCTAAGGATTTATTTTGTAGTAGCAGTCAACGTGAAGCAACCTCAGGACAGAAAAGCAAAAGGAAACCAATGCCACAAGTGCTCCAAGGGCCAGCTAACCTAATGGCTAAGCTAACGTGAACTCAACCACAACAAGTCACGTTAAAAAGAGGAAAAGAAAAGCAGCCGAGTAGTTTAGCTAAAGAGAGAGCGAACTTAAGTGTTTTCAAACGCACTACTAAATATAACTAGTCGGCTAGCTCACGGGAACTGGACACAGATACATTATTGTGTACGCAGGTATTGTCAATTAACAACAGAAGTTAAGTTAGTGGGCTAAATGTTAGCTACCATTAGCAGTCAACGTTGAGTAGTTGGGTTACTTTTATAAAACTGCTTGAGACGCTAGCTAAACAATACATCATGCTTACAACAGGGAATACACTTTTTTTTTTTGTTGAAACCGACGGTATTTATTTGACGTTACTTCTCACTGTTAATTTAACCCTTCGTTCCCAAACATGCCAGCGACGGGTTTTTTTTTTTGTACACGCAACAAAAAATAAAGTTCACTTACTGCTCATAATTGTGAAGACGAGGAGGAGTTTCTCTGCTCTTTTTTCGAGTTGACAACTTTTCACAACTTCACACAAACTTGACGGGCTGCCCCCCCCCCCACCCTCCTCCTAATGAAGGAGACAGACGGGTGCGTTAGATTGTGTGACCTGTGTGGCCCGTTAAGTTTGCGAGGATGACGGACTTTTACCAGAAAATAGCTCGTACAGGGTTTAATTATGCACTGACGAGAAACTGACCCAGTGGCCGCTTTTTAAATATATATATATTTAAAGGCTCGGAGATCTAAGTTGCAGCTGAGGCTGTAAACTTACGGTAAATATCGGACCGAACACGTTAAGATGAGTTATGTCATCACGGTTTTTTCACCAAAACCACATTTAAAACACGCAATTACCTTGATTAATAAACTTTATTTGCTGTAATTACTAACGTTTAGACTTAAACACTGCCCCTAAACAATCCCACATGTCCAACCCGTAATAAATCCGTAAGGGTATGAATGCTTCTGTCGTGTTTGTAATTTTGGCACCTGATGACTGAACTAATCGCCCTATTCCGGTACATAAAGGAAGCACACCCCTCTGCGAGCTTCTTGCGAAGGATTGCTGCTTTCCTCCAATGGGAAAGGTCGTCTCTGTCGACGAGACTCAACCAGCCAATGTGATTGGGCTAAATGCGGAGAATAGGGCGAGACCTCGCAAGTTAGGTTGTACCGCTGAGTATGATTGACGTCGGGTTATCTGTTTTCCGCTTAAAAGGCGCCATGAGTAAATATGTCCACGTAAACATCGATATTTCCCCTTACTTAAGCTCTGATATTGTCTTATCATTCAACAGTGTGAAGTCCTACAGGCTCATCTCTTGTTATGCCCGTCTTGAACACGGAGGTGGGGAAGGAGGAAGGCGCACTGGGCATTTAAGTCTTGCCTCCGTGGCCACTGGCCACTCCCTGGTGGCGCGCTGTGGGTTGGGAAACAGCAAGGAGGCGGGAGGAGTGAGCCAGGGTGGAGGAGAGGAGACCCCATCACACTCAAACACTGGCTGTAACCGCGCTGGGAGGAGAAAATGGCTCGCTTGTGGGAGGGCTTTTATTATTTGGATGGACGAGTGGGCTGTCAGTGCAGCAGCACATGTGTCCATGTAAACAGGACAGAGGGTGGAGTCCATCATCAGGCCTAAATCCACGCAACTCTGTCTCACACCGTCTGATCATATTTGAGTCATATTTATTCCCAACCCGCCTCCACACAAACACACACCAGTAAAGTCTAACCATGTTGCAGTATACCGCATCTGGCTGCCAGTGCACCATGCACTGACTCCATTTAGTGAAAGAAGTATTTAGATCCTTTATTTCACAATTCAAATACCTCATTACATTTCAAGTACAACATAGTGTACTAAAAGTAGCCTGCTAATCATGCAGCAGACTGCCCACTGTGTTTTTATATATTATATTATTACTGATGCATTAATATATAACCAGCATAATGCTTTTTAGTTTGACGAGCTAAAGATAATTTGAACTACCTTTTACAATGTTGGGTAACAAAACATCATATTTTATAAGTGTATCGTAGTCTTTGTATGTACAAAAGGTCCTTTTCAAAGCAGACTGGAAAAGCACAGGTGTTACATAAGGACATTCATGATGGCTCTTTAAGCCCTGACAGTGAGACAGTGAGACAGTGCGTCCGCATACACAACACCAGGATCTTGAAACTGAACAAAATCATTCATTTAATTATGTAACACCTATGTTTGTATGCTTTGACCTGTCAAAATGTCTAATCCTTTATCTTCTGCACAGTAACAAAAAACTTCATCAGTCAAATAAATATAGAATAAAAGGTCTAATTGTGAGGTAGATGTATAAAGTAGCATAAAATAGGAAAAACGATCAAGTAAAGTAGCTACAAGAACCTCAGAATTGTACTTAAGTACAGTGAGTAAATGCACTTATCTGCCATTTTTGTTTTATCTCTGTTAAAGCATGAAGTTTTTCTTTTCATGCCTAATCTCTTTTATCAAAATCACACATGGCTTCTGTTGCATAAGAACAGTTTATACAACTTTCTAAACAGCAGCCCTTATGAAGGCTTTATAAGTTGTAACTAATGCTTTATAGATAAGCATTAATATAAATGAGTTCATATTTCACATGAGCTTACTTTACCAAGCCAATACATGAGACTGTATAAGTGTCAAAAACATTATATAAACTATATATATATATATAAACTCAACAAATTAAACATAAGCTTAAGCACTTATGCCTATGGTAGGCTACAGGCATGACACAAAAAACATTAATGCAAAGCATCTTTAATTATAAATGTTAATAAGTCATTGATAAAGGGATCTTGCAATATCCAGATATGCATATTAAATGTTAATAAGTTGTTAATGAACACTCTGGTCTGTGTGGTCCTGTGGAGGTCAAACAGTCCACTGGAGGAGTCTTCATGATGAACTATAAAGACACAATGCATGATGCTGAAGGAAAACAAACATTAATAACCTGGCAACTGAGAAGTTGCCTGTAACTTATAAATGATATATACAGTATTAGTAAATTATTAATTAACCCTTAATTACTCATATTCTGTTTATAGAGTCTGAAATGGTGCCAAAGTTAATGTGCGATTGTCGGCTGCAGCGAGACGATGATATGGATCGACTATAAATTCTTCATTTTACAGAAATAAGCTCATTTGAGAGTTGCTCTGAAGTCTGCAGGTCACAGTTAGTCTGTAATGTGAATAAGATCATGATCATGCAACAGAAATTATTCTGATCACGATCAACCTTTAACCACTGACATTTCCAAAAAACTTTCTGGAGTCTGTCTCGTTTTGGTTCTGCAGGATGTGTCGTAGCTGCGTCCCACACCGATAAAACTTGTGTTTTCAGATGAGATGCAAAGTCACTTCCTACAGTCTGCTCGAAGCCTCATCCTCACACTTACTCCAACCACAGATGCAGGCTCGGTGACGTGAATCGGAGGAAACGAGCAGAAAGCCGTAATCGTGAATTAATCATTAATACCCAGAAACATGCCGGACTCAGCTCGAGGGTTTGCTGAAGATTGCAGATAAGTTTGAGACATGTCAACCTGCTGCAACAACAGGAAACGAGAGAAAGAGCGCCAGTGACAGAACTGAAACCTGAATCGATGAAGGTAAGAGCTGCTTCCCTTCTGTCGACCTTATGCGCTGCTTTTATTTTAAGGTTCAAATGCCAGAAAAAAAACAAAAGTGTATGAATTGACACAACTTGAGGAGACACCTTTTCATCGCTGGTTATGGAGAAAGTCTTATTTCATGTATTGATGACATAAAGAAAAACTTTTAGAATCACAACATCCATCACAACATCGATCAGTGTAAATCATTTTAATATGATGCAATGTTCTTTATTCGTCTTTATTTCTAAACTAACCAGATAGTTGGGCTCATATATGAGTTATTTGGGACTTTCACATAAGAGTGAATTGAAATGATGTATTATTTATCCTTTGCAGGTTTTATTTTAAATGGCTTTGGATGGGTCTATCAGCCACTCTTTCTTTGTGTCTGTGTCTATGTCTGCCACTGACATTATGTTTCCTTTTATCTCTTTACTCTGCTGTGTGCACTTTATTTGAACATAAGCCTACTGAGATATATTTTGTTGCACTCACACTTTCACGCAACAATACAATGTAGATATTTGATGTTATTGTCTTCGTACTTTAATGGTTTGTCTTACATTATGTCCCAAAGTAGTACTATTAAAATATAACTATATATACCTATTTACAGTTACCTTAAAGTTGACCGTGAACCTGAACTTGATACAGTGTAGCTGTGTTTTATGGAATAGTTTAATTCTTATTATGGTTATATTGGCGCTTAATCCAATTTTACTGGGTGAGTGAATTACATTTATGGAAATATATCTCTATAAAAAGTCGTTTATGCTTTATGAATTGTTCAGTGATGTTTTTAGATTAATTAATAGTGTTTCTCTTGGTGCTGGCTGCTAATCCATGTAAAAGAATGAAATGATTCTGAGATTTAGTGTCGGAACATAGTCTACTGTTTCAAATGCTTGTCAAACTTGCCAGAGTTATGAGGAAGCATCCTGTTAACAATCTATGGCATAAAGAGCTCAACTTTATGATAATGGATACAGTTCCAAAACTCTGAATACCATGGACTTCAGTGTGTAATGTTCAGTCTCTGCCTTTTAAACCAACGTCAGTGGTGAAACTAAAACACATTTTATCATCTTTGTGCCTCTTTACAGTAGCTACATGTTCCCCAGCAGTCCGTGAACTGAGGCGATGGAGAGCCCGTCATCCACAGTGAGGCGGCGAGCCTGGATTAACAGCAGCCGACAGTGGCTCACTCTGGAGGAACTGGACCCCGAAGGGACGCCGTGCAAGCTCCCCTCTGCCTCTATAGCAGACGACGATGTCTTTTCTGAGGGTGAGTCCAAACATAGGAGTGTGAGGAATCCTTGGTGTATTCACCTCATTCCGTTCGTTCTGTTCATACTGTTCATAATGTAAATATCTTGCCAGTATATTCATATATATAGGCTATCTATAATGTTATTATTATTACTTTACTACTTTGCACTTCTGGTTAGATGCTTACTGCATTTCGTTGTCCTTTACCTGTACTTGCAAAGACAATAACGTTGAATCTAATCTAATCTAATGTAATCTAATCTTCTGTCCAGTATCAACTATGTAGGATGCCCATGATCATGTCTGGGTTTTAGGGAAAGTAGTTGGAGATTTTGAAATTTCTTCATTACAGATATAAAATGAAAGAAACTTAGATCACTTATTCTTTTAGAAATAGCATAAGATAAAGTATAACTTCAATGCAACCAGAGGTTCCAGTTTTTGATTAAAAAAAATCCATCAGCAGTTTGTATTTAGAGTGGGCGTGTTTGTAAAAAAACAGACAACTTTGACATTTCAAAAGAAAAGATCTGTTTAATTTGAGGATTACTCACAAAGCTAAGTGTTGTACATGTATGATTTCCACAGGATGCTTCACAGGAAAGATTGAGAACTGGCTCCTGGGTTGTGGGTGAGCCAGCTTGCTTTACTACTTTTTTTTTTTTTTCTTAAGATGACATTTTTTTAGCCCTGATTGTAAAAGGCTCTTAAGGACAATGTGGCAGTCGCTGGAAACTGGTTTAACAAAGAGTAAGTAGAAAGTGGAAACTCTTTGAGGTCAGGTGTTCCAGGAAGACAGCGTGGTAAGGAAGCCACAGTACTGTGTTCGCTACAATAGCCATAAATGATGTATTTTTACAGTTCCATTTGGGGAAAATAAGCTTGTTTATTTCTGTAAAACCATAATGTTAGTATGCAGACTGCTTTTTAAGGTAATGTTGATTATGGTAAAAATCTTACTGTCAGGGTAAGTCCAAGAAAGCACACAACTCGTGAGCCCTTTGACCTTTTTCAAAATGTCCTTATGGTTTAGAGTAAAATAATTACATAACTAGACAGAAATAACACTGCCTTCTTCCTGTTGGGACGTCAGCACACACAGACATTATTGAATGTCTCTTATTTCAGTCATTGAAAAGGAAGCTGCACTGGTGGTAATCAGTGATGTTCCACATGCAGTGTGTCAGCGTCTAAACGGCTCCTAACACTAAGTAAGAATACAGTAAAAGGGGTGATGGGACAGTTAATGCATTCTGCGAACTCAACGTGAAAATTACCGGATTGGTTTGGAGGTGTTAAGACGTTAATTCTGCTCAGCATGTGAACATTTATACAAGAGGAAGTTTGAGCAGCCTGTTGAAAGCTGAGTAGGAAGTTGGTCTAAGTGGTTCGAACAAGCATATACTGGAGCTAGGCTGATATCATAATCCAGATGAGACTATCTATGCAAACGCAATCACTTATTTGATAGAAGAAGCATTCAAATGTCACTGACTAGATATTTGTGTGTGCGTGTGTATTTAAGCATTAATATTGGGCTATATCTCACAGGTCAGAGCCCCGCTCAGAAAACACTGGTCAGCTGAGTTTTGGTGAGTATGAACAGAAAGGAAGCCTTGTTACAGACAGCAATGTGCCATTTACCGTTTAATAATTTACCAAGTTCGATATGTGTGATGCACTTAACATATTTATAGTTGCATGAAGTAAATGCAAATCAACTCAAATGTGTAACATAAAAAACTTTTGTCTTAAGTCCTGTCCATAGTCACCAGCAGTGGTGGAAGTATCTAAACCCTTTACTTAAGTAGCATTACTGCATAATAAAAATACTCCATTATACTAAGCAAGCAAAAGTCACATAAGTAAAAGTATGTAACTACAATCAGCAAAGTGGACTAAAAATACTTTAATTCAGAATAAATTGTTACTGTGAATATAATGGTATTATATTGTTGAAATACTGAAAACAGCTGGTAATTATTTTATATAGTGTTGAGCAGTTTAACCTATAACAGTGCATCATAGGTGATAAACTCACTGTATGTTTTGTGTGTAAAATCTTAATCAGTGAAGTAAATAGTTGCTATATATAAATATAGAGGAGTAAAAAGAACAATATTTCTTCAACTGTGGTGGAGTAATAGCAGAAAGTAGCATTAAATGGAAAAATAAGTACTTTCCACCAATCACACCTACAGTTGATAAATTCAGAAAATTAAGATATAATGTGAAACTACGTATGAAATGACTGAATGTGTTGACTATGTGTTTCTTTTCTTTAGAATCTGTGCTGAAAGCCAACCACTTTGACGATGAGTTGAGTCTTGGTGCTGATGGTAAGTAGGCTACACACACACACACACACACACACACACACACACACACACACACACACACACACACACACACACACACACACACACACACACACACACACACACACACACTCACACACGCACACAAAGCAGGAAATGTCCTTGTAGGAAAATGAGGTGCAACAAGCTAATGCATTGTTTGTTAAAGTGATGACAAAGACGCACAAAGAGAGACTGATCCGTTTGTTCATATCAACTGTAATATTTTACTAAAATGTCCAGTGTTACTGTACCTCTGCCAAGAAGGATATGTTTTGAGAAGGGGAAGTGTTGGGTAGGAAGTTCTATTTTTTTGTTAATACCTCAAAAATGAATGATTTATAAAAGATTTCTGTTTTTTTATATGACATGTAACTACACTTACCTTTACAGAACTATCAAGGCCACACATACAGTTTTTGCATCTGAATAGAAAGTTATATAATAGTTTTTGGAAGATCAAAATATCATATTATTTTACCATATAAGTGATGAAACTCATATCCTGGGGTGTAACAGCAGGGTAAAGAATTGCATAATGCCTTTGTTTTTCATCGCTTACTGCTGTTAAGTTTATATGTCCTTTGGTCTTTTGTATATGAATCCAATACTACAATATGAATTAATCTTTGAATGACATTCTGGTAAGTGAGGTGTAAGTAAGGTCTTTTTTTCAGCAGTTGACAGCTTCTGTTAACAAGATTAGGCATGAAGTGTTAATGACTGTACGCCTAGGTGTGCTGTCTTCTTAATCCAAATTTCACTTGAGTAACACATACACAGACACATATTTGTATGGGCACATGTTTGCAAATAAACCGTGAAACTGACATTCAGATGCATATCAACACATTCTTCTTTGTTCCAGCTTCTGTGTTAAATGGTGGAGAAATTACGTCTGAAGCTGGGTGAGTAGCAACTGCAATCTTACAGTTGCAAACAACAAGAAACGAGGAATGTTGGGCTATTTAATTAGTGAATATTAGTTAACATGAATCCATGTTGCTTTAATCATTGTACAGACAGAGGTCATTCTGTATTTTTAAACCCACTTCCTATTTGCTGCACAAGAATAACACACGATTCATTCGGGCGGGAGCGGAACTGTCTTTGATGTTTAGATCTATCAGATCTAGAGGCATGTGAACTACACAGTCCAAACACTATGTTCAATTTAATTCCCACCTCACCACCAACACAGTTAACTCCAGCAGTGTCTCTTCGCTGATATTTTTAGGTCCTGGTTACACCCAAACATACTGAGGCTGTTCTTACTGTAAAGTGTAAATGAGATAGCACTCATTAATCACTTGATCGGCTAAACTGTGGTCCGTTATGTGGACTTTTTTTTACCTTTGAAAGAATATTTGACGACATGTGTCTCTGAAATTACTAAATCAACACTAAAGACACTTTATTAAGAATTGTATTGTTGAATGAATTGTTATTTTTCTTCCTTTCCTCAATCTGTGCGGACCGTGAAGCCTCTCCCAGCCTCCATCTTCCAAACAAGGTCACAGCAGACTCACCAGGTTAGTGTCCGACCTCTTCCTTGTTTAAAGGACCAGTCTAACAACTGACTAGTCTAACTACATTCGGAAGTGCAACTGTGTGTTATTATTAAGGTTAATACTTCAAATTGCTGGATGTTTCTTCCACGTCATAACTTTTCACATGTTTCCTCTATAGTACCCCTCGCCAGGCACTATGTCTGCCGTCACTGAACTTGGGCCACAGCATGGCCTCCAGCTGCCTCTCCTCCTCCACCTGTAAAACTACATCCAGGTGAGGCTTCAACACGTCTAAAAGGTTTATTATTCTGTAGGTATGAAGACTAATACCCAGGCTGCTCTTTGCCTTTGAATGACCTGACATGTTGCTGCTTTCCAAATCAGTTTTCTTGCTTTTACCTGAATGATATATACGGTTTTTATTCTGTTTAATAGTATTTCATCCTTTTGTTTTCTTTATTTATTGTTTTCAGTTATATTTATTGGTCCCATATCTCATTATTTTGTAAAGCACTCTGTAACTCTCTTAATAAGCATTGCACATGCTTGAGTACAACTTTCAAGTCAATTATATATAAAGGCCAAAATCACAAATTGGCCTCACAGGGCTTAACAGGGGAACTTTTTTTCTCACATGCACACTAGTATATCAGAGGTCCTGCAGTTGTGTTCGGAGGATGCAGAGGAGACACTGTATGAGTTGGGTTTCGGTTGCGATGAGCCACAGGTCACTGTTCGCATCCCTCCTCGCTTCTTCACCTTCCCCTCTGTGGCTCAGGGTATCAACTTCCGCCTCTTCCTGGACTCACAGCTACGGCGGATACGAGAGGAAGACCCCAGCCTTTCTCTAGCTAGTAAGACTAAACAGTTGTTAAATCACTCTTCTGTAAGTTATCTTTGCCATGTGAACTGTATAATATTATTTATTGTGTGATAAGGTGAAATAATACTGGGATGTAGTAAATGAGATCCATTTTACTTGTAATAATTTACATTTTTATTCTTTCCACAGGTCGTTTCAGACAAGTGCAAGTGCTCACAGCAATGGCCAACGCTTTCTATTCCCTCTACTCTCACGTGTCCCGCACTCCTCTACAGAAACTGGCTACACCTGAGTTTAACTTCTCATCTCCCGTGGAGAGGATCGAACGCTTCAGGAGCAGCGTCCGCAGCGAGCCACGTTCTCCAGTAGAGAGGCTGAAGGACACCGTCTCCAAGATGTGTCTCTACACGGGCTCTCCTCGCGAGTCAGACTCCACCTCTCCACAGCCGTCACCCAGGAAAAGGTCCAGCCTCCCCGAAGTTGTGGATATCGTACTGGACAAAGTCAAGACTGGGGTGAACAAGAAACTAGATTTGGAGGAATGTAATTCAGCTGTGGATGTCAGACTGGTTGCAGATGGTGATGAATTCTGTGACAGCGGGAAAGAGGAGCAAGCACAGCAGACCGCTGCGGACACAGAAACTCTTCAAAATGGAAATAACATCTGTCATAAGGAGACGCAGGGTGGTAAACAAACAGATAACACAGCAGACCTTGACAGCACGACTTACCCTGTAAGAACATCTCTAGCATCATCATTATCAGGAGAAACGGTCATAGAAACAGGTCATCAGTTTATTTTATATCATCCAGAGCTGGACTCAACTCAAAGTGACACAAGGACTGCTCTAAAACCAGTTGCCAAGGTTACGTATGATCTAATCTGTCCGCAGATAGTCGAGAGCATACACCAGGCGCCTTTCTGCACACATAGTCCAAAAACAAACACTTTACCTCCTATCTCCTCAGAGACAGAACGCATTGATAGACCATGTCCTGGATCTCATAAACAAACTACTGTCTCTGAGCCTGACGAGGACTCACACACAGGTTCATCCAGATCACTTCCTGTCCTAGCCTCCAGTGGTAGCCTCACCCAATGCTGCATCACTGTGACTGGCTGGGAGGGTGACAACATCTCTTCCTGTTCCCTGAACACGCCAGATTCCGGTCATACTTCAGCTGTCCAGACACGTGAGGAGTCATTTAACGAGGGGAAAAGCCAGTACCTGAATCCACTGACACCTCAGGGCCTGGGGCACATCTCCAGTAGCCTGCAACAGGGCAACTCCTTTGACCTGGAGGAGGTACAGTAGTTACAACTGTACTGCACATAGATTGAATGTGGGGGAACGATGGGGGGAAAAATAACATATTGTATATTTTTTTGTCCGTTTTGTTTTTATAAATTGCAATATTTAAAAGAAACGTTTCTCCAGATAAAGTATATGTAGCATTTGTATCATCACCATCATCAGAATATAGCATGGCAATATAATTAAATACTCCATACTTAATCCTGGTTAAAGTCCATGATTATCATACTTCTTTAAATTACAAACCTCTTCCATAAATGAGTTCAAGAAACACGATGAAAGCATTCAACAAAAAGCTGACAACAAAGAAGAGATTTTGATACTAACATTTCTTTTAATTAAATTAAAATTTGAGTTTCAAGATCCACTCCAGTCAGAAATATGGTTTGCAGATTTTTTAAACATGAAGGATGTTTTCACATTCATCTGCTGAAAGTGGAAAGTTTCTCTGTGCTCATTGGAAATCTGATTTTAAGGGGCGATGTAGAAACTTGAAGCCAGCAGTGCACAAATACTGAGAATGGACTTTACAGTGAAGTAAGAGACATCTTGTGTCCAGTAAGAAAAACCTAAAAAAGAAATTAAAAAGAAATTAGGTAGAAGGAGTATATGCCTTTTTTACGACACACATCGTCCCAAGACAAGACTATATTTATATATATATCTTAATACATGTCTGGAGGGGATCTTTAGAGTATCATCCTCGTTGTTTGGTTCAGGCAATTGACTCATCATACATGGCTCTTTGTGATTAATGGTCAAAATAAATTGAGTTTCTTTGTGTTAAGAGTGGAAAAGTACTGTCAACACAGTGAATGTTGTTGCTCCACAACATTTTTCTTTCCTACAGTTTCTTTCTTCTTCCTAATAAGTTGTTAAAATAGATATCTGCTTTTTAAGCTAAACAGTCCACTCTCAGGGTGATTTTGATTGGTCATTCAGAACAAGCACGCTTGCAAATCCTGTAAACTAAATGTAATTAGATTAGGCTAAATGGCAGTATGTTCATTATTTCTCATATCTTATCTTTAAGACTGTTTGTCTTTAAGATAAGATATGAAAAATGACATATATATTTACGTGGATAACCTGATGATCACTGAACCACTGATATTCCATCAGTAAATATTGTAGTTTAGATTGTTACATAGTATCCTAAAAGCGTAGCATATAATGTTCATGGTGAAACAATACATTGTTCAGCCATAATGGTATATAATCGTTCATGATATTGTTTCTTAAAATACAAGATGATACAAGAGTCAAAACAGACATACAGTATATAACATAAACTTCATATCTTTTGTTTCCATAGGTACACAGTGCAGGAGAGGAAGATTTTGGACAATCAGATACTACAAAAACAACTTCCCTGTTGTTTAAAAAAAGCCTATGCAAAGGTATAGTATGTCTAAAACATTTTGTATGATCACAGATCAAAGGCAAACTGTTGCTTTGCTACACGCAGTCATATTTTATAGGAACATGAGGAACATAATGTGTCATAATTGTTTGTGTGGTCACCAAAATGCTGACCCCATTAAGAACAAAAACAGCATTCACACAGTTCAAATGGTTCTACATGTGTTAAGAAAAGGGTGTAGCCAGTTAACACAATAACAGCTGCTGTAACCAGAACGCTTTGGCTCAGCATTCACACAAAGACGTGTGTATTAAATGCACAAACCAATTTGTGGGTGTGAAATGTCTAAACTTGAATATGTTACTTTGGGATCACTGTAGGTCTTGTATTGAGGTCAGATATGATGTGTGAGGAATTGAATACAGTAAACAAATGTATGTAGAAAATGATGAATGTGTGAGCACATGTGTATACAGGTCACTGAGCAGGTGTATTTTTCACTAGGAACATACAGTGCTGTATGTTCCTTTGTGTGTCTAATCAGGTCACACTGCAGCTGCATTTATACAGTGGTATACAGTGCATGGATGTGCTGCCTGACTGTTTGTGTCCCTGTGTAGGTGAAGTGGTGCGGGGCGACAGCATGCAGTCAGACAGCAGCGGCTACGCGGATGAAGAAGGCAGCTCCTCATTTAACACACGCAGATGACAGAAAACCAGGAACTCCATTGTAAACAACTTTCTAAGCAGTGTTTTACTGCCTGTGGACCTTTTCCTGCACTGTGGATTTGAAAAGCACTTCCAAGTAAAGACCGCCAGTCAAACAGGCCCAACAGATTAAGATGTCATGGTACTGTAAGAGACTTGGTCACATGAGGACGTACACTGAAGCAGTAATAAAGTTCCAAATTTGCAAAGCACTCAGTTTCTCCTCAGTGCTCGCACTGAATACAGAATATTGTGAATACGTAAACATAAGACTGTTCAAAGGTCTTGATGATATACTGTGTGGACTGTATTTTATTACAATGTTAATTCAACAGGGAATTTAGAGCATGTGCAGGTTATTACAACAGCAGTTGGCAGTTGTTTACAAAAATCCTTTATTGGAAACAGTCAATTTCACATGGAGTTCACATTAAAGTGAATTGTTTTTCTAAAACTGGGCAACATCAGCATTGATGTCAATGGTCTCAGCACCTAAAATTCACTAAAAATTAGAAGTTAAGTTCCTTTTTTTAATAATAAGAAAACAATATGCAGATCTGCCTCTTCAGATAATGAGGTTACATCTAACACACTGTACTGTAAACCAGTGGGAGACGTACAGAAAGTTGGTCAGCTTGCATTGTGCAAAGGACAGTATCTTTCCAAGTAGTGCAAACTGCTTACTACTTTCAATACTTTTTAGATGAGTGCAAGGCAGTGTATCAACCGATATGCAAATACAGTAAAGTGGGTGATAATAAAATCATACACCGAGTCACAACAGATAGTTGGAGGATATAATCTGGAGAATCAACGTCATCAATTACAGGAATCATAGACAAAAAATATAAACAACATTATAAACAAAACAATATTGGGAATATTGATAACATTGAAACGCCACATAAAATATGTGGCAGCTTTGCTTGTCTGGTCTATGATATTAAAAAGTCAAAGGTGGGTTTTAACATTATTGTTAATATGTTATTATAAGGAGAACAATGCTTTATCAGAAGACTCACAGTACTTTTCCCGCTAATCACAAACTTTGTGTCTGTTTTACTCTGAAATGCATTCCTAGAGCTTCTGAGTGCTAAAAGAAGAGCAATAGAAAAAAATTATAATTTTCAAGCTGTGATTATTACACTTGACAATGTTTTAAAATTCAGGAGTAAATGGGACCAGTAAGTCAATTTTAAATGTAATTGTAATGTTTTTTTGTAATTTCTTTCTTTAATCATCACAATTAAATAGACAGAAATGACTCACACTGTGTTTTCATACTCTCTTAGTGTTCTCATAATCGTGTTGCATCAACAGAAGCCCAACTCTAGCAACGAAGTCTCTAAAGGGGCAAAATTAAACACATTAAGGACAATTCATATTGATTTCAGCCATCTGAGTCTACTGATTCTTCTCTGGATTTCTACTACGCTTAAGAGTTTCACAATTACTTTTAAACTTTATTTAAGTTCATAATGTTAAACAAAGATAACAGGGTGAGTTTCAACTGACTGTAATCTTAAACTGAGTTTTAAAACAAGAAAAATCTCAAATATTTAAATCTTTAAGGCCGAACATTAAATACATCACAGATACTAACAGTTTGAGATTTTAGGGTTCAGATGAACATACAACAAAAGCCACATTTTCAATACAATTTCATCAGGCTCATCTGAAAACAGGGCAGTCTTTAAAATTGTTTTCCTCTTATATCTTATTCAGCAGAGTCCATTTCTCTCCACGTTTCGGCACACGGCTGGAAATTCTTTTCTTACGTTCATCCATGGGAATGGGGATTAAACAAAAGCACCAATAATTGGCGATTCCATAGTCCAATTTCTACAAACTCCTTTGAACTTTTGCACTTTTTGTTGCATCAAAATTTGTCTTCAGTTATTTGGGAACTCACAGCAAGAGCACCATTCATAATTTCAGATAAAGACTTCTTAAACTTTAGATTTGAGGAACATACAGTGCTGCATATGGTTGCTGAGCAAACAAACACTATTGAAAATGCATTTTCAAATAAAATGTCTTGGGAGAGGGGTATGAGATGTTTTGGGCAACTAAATCTTCTTTGGCAAAAAAAGGAAATCGACGCAACAACAACAAAAAAAAAGGGCTCCAGGGGTTCATCTAGGGACAGAAAAAGTCTCCTTCTCCAAATTTGAGGTAATTCATGTTATTTGAACTCATCACAAAAGTGCCTCCTTCATCCAAAGTGGAAATGTATCCTGGCGTGATGAGTTTGAGTCTGTGAGGAGGCAGATGACTTGATCATTTCCCTCCAGCCATGATTTTGAGGTACTGCAGTGCATTGTGGGCTGCATTGGCTCGAGCAGCGTCTATGCTCGGAGCAAAGCCGTGGCACACTGTGATTGGCTGCGTGGACAGCTCCACTAGACACTGGCAAAGGCCGCTCAGACTGCGCTCCTCTGAAACAAGAAAGAACACAAATGTTTTCTTTTTTTAAACAATGACTTTGTTTTGTTTGCTTCAAACAGCAGGATTAAGCAAGATTTTGAATATAGCACAGATATTTCCACCATCGTTTGTTTATGTAGAGGATGTCTTTCATTCTCCATTATAGTCAATTTCATAGGCATTTCTATCTCCATTATAAATCTGATGAAGGATTTAACAGTTACGACCCTTTTTCATACTCTAACCATAAATGTCACTGTGATTTACATGCTGAAAGTAACCCAGATACCAGCCATACTTCAGTTACGATCTTATTATTTTGATGTTTGAACATTTAAAACTCTGTAGCGATATATGGCTGAAAAGACATTAAAATGATTAGAGCGAATTACCTTAATTTTGACAAGAAGGAGCAGATTTACATTCACTTCCAGCTATTAGTACCCTCTATTTTTCTGGGATGTGGGGATATCAGACTAGTTAGATTAAGTGTCACTTAAAGGTGCGGTCAGCCACTCTATTCCAATAAAAATGTTTTCAAATTCAGTGAATATCTCCTCACAATATGCTAGCTGTCTGTTCTGTGTGTCTCAATAAAATAAAAAGGTATGAATCTATGTTTATTAGATAAATCATATGGACATAACTGTGTATCTCAAACTCACTGAGTGCTGGCTCCTCAACAACTTCCAGTACAAGTAACAAATAAATATCACTAATTCAACTAGTAAATTCAGCACTACATTAGTTGAAACGTGCCACTCAAAAAAAAAGCTTAAAGTTCTGGTCCGTTTGTGAAGTGCTGTCCACAGATAAAACTGTGACAACATGCAGCTGTGGGCTACTTCTTCCATATCTGGTGACAGTAATAGAAACCACACAACATGCCATTTGTTTGTTTTTTTGGTATGCTGCCATCAAAATGTAAAAATAATGCTGTGAAAGTCTTGGCTCGTGCAAATGGTGTAAAGCAGATGTGAAAGCAGTCAGAGGTTTACGTATGCAGTGTCAGCCCAACCCATTCATTATATTTACATGTTCCTAACTAAAACGCAGCTCTTTATGTATACAGCCAGTGATGTCGGTTGACTGCACATTTCTTTTTAACCTTTCAGTGTTGAACCTAAGCTGTCAGAATGTGGTGCTCTGCAGAAGTGAAAGTCAGTTTCTTAATGCTATCGCTTGTGAACTGACCTAGGTCCAGGTAACTGACGTCAAAGCGCTGCTCCACAGACAGGTCGCTCAGCAGAGAGCAGAAGTTGGAGTCGGAGGGCATGCCCAGAGGGTGGCTGCGGAGCTGGAGGATCTTCTCTCCAGCAGAGTTCCGCAAGGAGTCCCACGTGCAGCTGAAGCCTTTACTTTTGCCTGACTCAGCTCTGCTCCCCATGTGCTGTGTGTGCAGAGGAGATAAAGGTAATTAAATAAACATTATTATGATCGCTTTGCAAGATTTACAAGCAAGAAAGGAGGTAATGGGGTGCATAGCTTAAGGTTTTCTGCATAACATTTGAAGGACAAACAACTGGAAATTGCAGACGTAATTACACACTATGTAATGCAAACATTTTGTTTGTTGACATTTGTTAATTGGGTTTTAGTTACAGGTTATGCAACGTTGTGCATCCCTTCCCGTAATGTGTCAAATAATTTAACATGCAGGATCTTTATAGGCTAGTGCACAGAGGAATTTTATTTCTGTTTGTTTTTTTACCATGTTGAATGTGTCATCCTCTGTGTCAGCGTCATTGCTGGTCCTCAGGTCCACTGGAACATCGTGTATGCGCGATAACATCTTAGCTGCAGCGTTCCTCTTGGCTAGCTTTTTGGAGGTTCCACTTCCTAGAGCGGAGAAGGAGACTGAGTAATATTGAGTAATGTGGAACAAGCCATGACCGCAGATTGATGACAACTTTGACTTATTGATATTCATTCATTTAGACTTTGATAAACAGAATCAAACAAAGAGTTTGCTTGATATGTGCTCTAATTTAACTAGCCTGATCTAAATCTTGTTAAAATGGGACATTAATATTTCAGTCTATCAGAGGCAACTGTAAGCTGTGCCAGAGAACTATCTATGCACATGCAATTCAGGTGTTGCTAGTATAGGTTAGTGAAGGTCAGAAATTACTCAGCACCTAACATGCAGCACATATGATGTTCATGACATTCAATTAGTTTTCTGCATGCCATTTATAAAGACAGTTTACATTTGCCATGTTAATTCATTAAATATTGCAAAAAAAGAGACAAAAGCTGCAAATACACACAACAAAATCTTAATAAAGTGATTCCTTATACCAATTTCAACAAATCTCTCGACTCTGCATGTCATGGTGAATTCTTTGCGGTGTGCTGGACCGGACTCCTGGGTGACTGTGTACTCTGGCAAACGCCATCCTTTCTGCACCACCAATTCCTGGCAAAGAAGCATACAGGTGAATACTTATAAAATCAAAAAGGCATGCAACTAACCAAGTCAACACAAAACCTTAAACTACAGTAGTTATTTTTGTTTATTCACCTGCAGAGCTCCTACAGGGTTACATTCAGACTGCTGAGAACTGCCTGAGGTCTTCATCTCTGACTGGGAGCTGTGCAGAAGATGAGATAAAACAAAAACAGAAGAGGAAGTAATGAAACCACACAGATCTCCGTCTCAAAACGCTTTGTCATGCTGACATTAACTGAGTCAAGTTTCATTTGAACTTTAGAGTTTGTGTAAAGAAAACAATTAAACAAGAAACTGACCCGTCTCCATCAGTAGACACGTCAACCCCAATAAAACCGTCTACTCCAACACCAACTCCGGCGGGACCTCCAAGGCCTCCTTTGAGCATCTTCAGAGCAGCCTCGGCTGCTTTGTGCTTGGCTGCCTTCTTGCTGGGCCCTTGGCCGGTGCAGCTGATCTCTCCGACGGAGACGCGGAACGTGAAGTTGGGCTGGTGGGCCTGTCCCTCGGCCTTCAGCAGGTCATACACTGGGGTCTTGCCTATCCGCGTTCCATATTCCTGCAGCAGACTGATGGGCGTCTTTCCGGGATTCACAGCCAGCATTTGCTCAATACTAAACAAAAGAAAAACCCAGCATGAGAAGGACTGTTTAGAAAATAGCGTTATTCCTACCTTTTAAGAAACATTGAATAAGTCTTTGCATGATTAATTCAGGAATGTGTTCTTGTCCTTTTGTTTGCTATGATAACCTTTTATTGCTTTTAATGGATGACAGCTATAGAGTGACAGGAATTTACTGCATTTTACGATGCTCTGAAAATTGACTTGAATGTGTCTTTCTAGAAACAATGTCCAGCTTGTTCAAATCTATAAAACTTACTCTGAAAGTAACCATAAACTAAGCTTCCCTTTACCTCCTTTACATTGTGGCCACAGGAATATCAGTAGTAAAACCATCACAGATTTTATAATACCAATTATAATTTTGTCAAGTATTTATTTATACAAAGCTAAAGGGTATTAGAAAACTTATTATAAATAATTGTATTTAAAGAGAGTAGTAATAAAAATGCAAGACTGGAGGATGCAATGTTACACGTCTACACTGTGATGCCAGTTTATTAGATAGTAGTAGTTAGTACTGGAATACAACAGTCAAGCAATAACTCCTACCTTCATGAAGATTACAATCTGTTTTTAGAGAGATGTTGGGCTTCTTTTTGAGGTGTATTGCGCTATATTGACAGGTGTTTTATATTATTTACTCCACCTCATTTCTATCAATGAGAGTAGGCTAAATAACAAACACTAACCACAACAGATTACTGGGTCCGGTGTGTTCCCTACAGGGAACTGTGTACACTAATAACAGATTATTATGAAGTTCCATATAAGTTTATTCTCATTACTGTGCTAACAGCTTAATAACCAAAGGTGGAAGTTAATAACAGTAAACTAATGTCGGTACCTGGATCTCTTTCAGTCTCACTTCTGGCACTTTATTTTGAAGCTACCTGACATCGATGTGTTTAGTCAGAGCTAACAGATTTATTGTTGCAGGTTTTTTATTTTTTGAATAATAAAAAAGGATCTAAAGGGTCAGACCGCCTCCCCGTTAGCCACTGTGCTATGGTAGCATAGCATCTTCACCTGGAGCACCCGGAGTTTCTCTTCCAGCTGTCCGGTGCTGTCTCGTCGTTCATTCCCTATTTCACGCAGACAGAGCCGATCGGTTCCGGATGGTTAACCCCCCCCACCAAAGCAGACACTTTCATTTGACGGTATTTAACCCCCACCGCCCCCAAAAAAAGACAGATAATGAAGCAACAACATGTGAAGAGTAGACGAACGAAGCCCACCCTCCCCGCCCTCCCGAGTTTAGAAATGCGCAGCACAGATATGACGTGAGACGGATCCCAGAGAAACTCGACTTCTGATTGGTCCGCGGACGCTTTGGGTTCGTTCGTTTCGCGCACCGGAAAACACCGACGCGGTTGTAGCACACAGACAGCGACCTCATGGACGATTGTGAGAAACAGGTGAATGAGTTACTTACGTTAAACATGGGGAGAAAACGTTACCTCTCTCACAATGTGGAAATAGTCACCCAAAAAGTAGAAGTTGTCCATTTAACATTGAGCATAAAGCTAGTACAGTAGAATAAACGCATTTAACCTAACACAGTACCAAAAGGAAAATGTCTAAAAAAGGTTAATAATGCATTTAAAGCAACAAAAAAAAAAAAAAAAAAAAACGTGCGTACTTTATGAGTGTGACGTTATTTTTTTGCAGCTAGCAGTTAGCTGAAATCTTCCCACTGCAGCTGTGAGACAACTGCAGTGGAGGGAAAAAGTACCAGAAAATGTAAGTACGGTACTCAAGTAAGTGCCAGTGCCAACTGTACCTGCGTAAATGTTAGTTGTTTCTACCGCGTTTGGTTCTGCATGTGAGCAAGTATTTACCGAGAGAGCCTTTGTTTTGCCTGACCACTTATAATGCATTCTGCCTCCCTGGGGGAAGTACTTTGTTATGACTGCAATCAACCAGAAGAGGGCGACAGCCAGTCACTGATCTGCCCTCCGACAAGCCTCTCAGTCGGGGCTTTGTTGGTGCTTTGGGTTGTCTGGCACCTGTCAGCTCAACTCAAGAGCAACACAGAAAGCACGGAGGATTTCACTAGTTTGGTAGAGTGACTAAAGATGAGTGTTTGGACCCAGACTGTCTGTGGCATGCACTCAAAAAGATAAACCCTTCAATAATAAATCAGAATCACTTTATTGGTCAGCTGTGTGCACACATACAAGGAGTTTTTTGCCCCCAGTGTACAAACACAGCATAAATAAACAGGACTTAACAAAAATGACATGAACTGCTATGTACAGTTATACATCTATAAAAAAACAAGCAAAAAAATAAAATAAAATAACAACAAACTTTATGGATAAAGCACCTTTCAAAACAAAGGTACATGGAGCTTTACGTGAAAAAATCTAATCAAAATTATTATTATAATAAGAAGAAAATTCCATACTACAATTAAATAAAAGAAATTCAACGTACCAAAATGAAATGAATATATTTATATATAATCAACAGTGAATGTCCTGCAAATCAAAATGCAACACAGTGAAATATAAATATACAACTAAGAATCTGTTGAATTGACAATAGGCCTATGCAGCCTTTACCCTTTGTTATATGTTATATGAGGAGTTGTACTTTTTAACACTATGCATTATATGACATTTGATAGTTGCTTTTATTCTTATTTCTTTTATATTTTTTTTATTATTATGTTCTGTATCCAAGGCACCATTCAAAATGAGACCTCAGCCTCATTGGGATTTTCTCTGGCTAAATAAAGCTTAAATAAAATAGAAAATATTATTTATAATCTAGGCAAGCAAAAAGTGATGGTAATGCAATTAATTATAGAATAAGACCCTAGAAGGACAACTTTAATTTTGGTGGAGTTTCTTTGCTTAGCTTGGATCCCTTTGCTCTGGTGAATACCCGGAGGAGTCGTGCAGACCCTTAAAATCCTTCGGACCCACACGTTCAGAACCTCCTGCCCAACTAATGTAGCAGCACTTCCATAAAATATTTCAGTACATTTTCCACCTTTCCATCATTTCCTTTATTTCTGTGGCTGGACAATTAATCTCATGATGGTTTTCTCGTAAACCCCTGCTGGCCACCGTTGAAATAGAGCTTGCACTCTGATGGCTTCATTCACTGGCATCAGTGTGTCCGTGTGGATAAGCACATTTTGCCAAGTGCAACACAAAGTGAACCGGCCATGACAATGAGTAAAGTTGTCTCCCATTTGAACTCCCAAACCTACAATCAAAGCACCATGATTTATCCGGGACCAGAGTATACCCCTCCTACTCATTATTCATACTTTCAGCGTTAATTCGCTTTGTTCACCGGGCCTTAATTTGTCAGCTGAAAGCCCTAATTTATTGACCTATAACGTGATAATGTGTTTTTATTGAGCTTGTGGTTAAATCAGTGACTGAATGAGATCAGAAATGAATGCCGTCTTAGAGTTTACAGGACATCCAAAATGTATGCACACATAGACACACACATCCACAAACACACTTTCCTTTTCCCTGTCTTGGCCTGGCGCATTAGTGTGTGTGGTTCTTTGGTTGCCAAAATCATCAGTAGATATCTTCAAGCATGGAGCTGTATGAATGCTCTTTTTCCCTCCTTCCACAATATGATGTGTTTCCTTTTTTGTGTGTGTTTTGATCCCTCTCTTGCGGCCAAGCTGTGCTGTGGTGAGGCGCGGGTTCGAGTGGCGCTCCTGTGTTATTTTTGGCAGCAGCAGTGGTTGGTGGCTGTTGAGGAGAGAGGAGACAGAAGGGGGATAGCATGAAGCCCAAAAACCAAGGCTGTTTAAGGGATTTCTGTCTGAAGGAATTGCTTTGTAATGATCAGAGACTCATTATGGATGTGTGTGTGTGTGTGTGTGTGTGTGTGTGTGTGTGTGTGTGTGTGTGTGTGTGTGTGTGTGTGTGTGTGTGTGTGTGCATGAATACACACACACACACAGGAAAAGGCTGGCATGCACTTTTATTCATTTAACACTTCACAAACGCCTCATATACATGTTCTCATTCACAGACCACACACTCAGAGTTGCTCATATGCTTAACATGTGAAATGGTTCCCTGTATGGTGGAACCAACATTTGAAATCTAGCAGCAAATTTAAATATAATATATTTAAATATTTATTTTGCAGTTACTCTGCTCCTGTCTCATGGGAACTATTTCTTGTTTGTCAACCACTTTGGTAATGCTCTCTCTCCTCTGTGGGAGTCAGTCTGAGACACGCCGCCTGCTCAGGCAACATGCAGTGTCAGACATTCACGCTCCTCCCTCTACGCTTCTGAAAACACCATTTGAAAAAGATTTTCTCCAACTCTATTCTTGGCCACAGATCAAGAGAACGTTATTACTCTACTTTATTTATTTATATATTGTGGTGGTAATGTGTGTGAACGTATGTGTGCGAGTATGTATGTGTGTGCGGGTGAGTGATATGTAATTGTGTATGTATGTGTGTTAACCCACAAAGATATTTCAATTTCTTCAGAATATTAAATAAACATGCAGCAGCAGCAGCAGCTTCAGTGAAGCGCTGCCTGCCAGTGGGTTTTGGGTTGGATGGGTGGCGGTGCTGGTGGTGAAGGGGGAGAGGGGGTTTGTGGCCGTGGCTCTCGGGGGGTGAGGCAGCTCATGGTCAGGGCCCCCGCCGGACACACTGGCGCCTCGCGCTGGAGGACTTCTGAACCACCACACTCCTCCACCAAAACCCTGCCAACCCTGGCTCCCTGCTCCCCGCTTCCAACCCAAATCACTCAGCTCTCTTTCTGCATTTTGACTCTCTCTCTCTCTGTCTGTCTGTCTTACTGTCTCTCTCTCTCTCTCTTCTCCCTCCTTCCTCCCTGACTCTTTTTCCTTCTTCAGTTTCCTCATTCAGTTGATCCAAATCCAGATTCATTTGCTATTTGGCCGCCTTCTCATTTCTCACTTACCGCTGTACTTTTAGTGGCAGGTCTCCCTGATTGTGTTTTCTCTACCTTTTCTCCTGAGGATTTTGTGTTTTTATATATCCACAACCCCTTTTCTGCACTGTCTCTGTCAAATCCCTTCACTTAAAATGTTCCAAGGAAGCATTTAGTGGCTTGAACTTAAAAAAAAAAAAAAAGCAAACAAGAGGTTTGGGCTGTATGTAAGTCAGAATACCATGAAGATAGTAAGCATTTTCAAAAGGAAAGAACAGTTTATGGGCGCTCTAGATATTTGTAAGGGTATTAGGTTATAATTGGCCAAATGCTTTTCCAACCATATCCAAGAGCGATATAGAGCTATTCCTCTTGTCAGTGAAAAAAAACTTTGCATGGTGGCCAAAATGAAATAAACTATGCCAGCTTTACTGTATGTGCTCTCACTAAAGGTCCCCTCAAGTAAACTTAAATCTGAAACCTGGAAGTAAAATGAATAATTTATCAAGTAAATGTACATTAAGGTTACATGATGAGAAATACTTGTGATCACTGATAGCCAAAGAGCCAAAGAATGTACTTTTTTTCTTATTCATGCCTTATGGGCAAATGTGGTTATTCAAAAAACTCCTAACTGCACCTACTGCTGCGTATAATTGAATTATGGATGTCAAACATCCTAAGTAGAGTGGATATGTCTTTACGTGTCACACATGCAATTTTCGTAACTTAATTTTCCCCTGGAAGCAATTTGTCATCCGGAGGCCATTAAATGGGAAGCATATTATCTTTTTAAAGGGGCACAGAGTCACCCACAACCCTCCCACAGTTCCTATAAACAAAATGGCCTCATTTAGTGCCGCATTTGGTGCATTGGGCAGCAAGGGAGGACTCCCTTTAAACTTTAAAGACAGTTCTGGGCTAGAAAAGACTGTGACTTTGTACGGTTAGAGTTGAAAATATGAAAAGCACTCCAAGTGTGATGATGCAAGGCACATGCACGGCTGCTGGCTTTGTCAAAAGTGAGAAGGTGTTGGGCGCCCGTTTAGCGCAGTGGGTAGAGCTGGCCCGGGTTCGACTTCGACCTGCGGCCCTTTGCTGCGCATCATCCCCTCTCTCTCTGCCCCCATTTCCTGTCTATCTTCAGCTGTCCCTGTCTAATGAAGGCATGAAAAGGCCAAAAAAAAAAAAAAGTGAGATGGTGGTTGAACCTCCACCACCAATGTGATAATGATTCAGAGAGGAGAGAAAGGAAGTAGTGCTGCAAGATACGTGATTGTTGCATCATCTGAACTCATGTTACCACAGTGTGTGGTGAATTTACGGCATGAACAAAGAAAAGCACTTAATCACAGAGACACATCTGTTTGTGTCTGCTGTTTTGTAACATGCTGCTTCCATTCCTGACAAATGTTAATGACGGCCTAAAATGATAAGCAAAATAGACATAGAGTACATCTGCAAGATAGGATGACCTTTTTACCTCTTGCCCTCTCTTATCTGTTGTGTTTTCCTCTTCAACCCCTTTTTTATGTAGCCTGACCTCTTCTGCTCTTAAGGTCATGTTATGGTTCACTCAGGTCAGTTTACCTTTCCCCTTTGCCAAAAAGCCTTATCTTGTTTTTACTTATGGCCTGACTGCTGAGCCTCTGGGCGTGCTGACATTCTTTTCCCTTTCTCCCCCCACTCTGCCACAGAGACCCAGTCACACCTGCAGACACCTGTGCTTTTGTCCCGGCTTTATGCCTCCCACAAACCCCCCCTGCCCTGCACGCATTGGAATGGTTTAAGTAGTTCACCCATGCCTGTGGCTATGTCAGAGCACAGTCCATTGTTTTACCTGACTATTCAGTTAGGTCCAGATAATAGCAGGAAAAGGAGATTCATTAGCATTTTGTTCAACACATCACAATGAGTTGTTCTTTCATTTCAAACAGCTGGAATGTCAGGGAGCTGAAACTCCCTGCTGTAATTCATTACGCAAACGTTTATGTAACTCATCAAGTCTTATGGCTAAACTAAACACTGCCTGAGTGAATGTTTTTAAATTACTTCTTCGTGTTAGTTTGGTCGGAAATGGGCTGTGTGATGGCTTTAACAGGTGTGTCTGGGATCCACTGTAATAACCTTTTTAGTCCTAACAAGTCTGTGTAATGCAGTGATTTGATTCTGTAAAAGGAGTACAGGGGCACGTGTGGGCAAACCATATGGAACAGATTGTCCAGCTTCTTCTTTTGCCCCTATGTGTCACTCCATGTATATTTTTCTTTTTATGACCTTATTTGAAGCAACACTTAATGTTTCCTGGCTTTCTAAATAAAAGAAGTAAAAATAAAGTTAAGGCTACAGTATGCCACCACCACTGAGGGAGTGTATTTTAAAAAGGCAGAAAATACCAGTAGCAGCAGAGGTTTTAAAAGCCACTGACCATCTTCCTAACCCCCCACCCTCACCCGCTGGCCTGACACACCCTACCCATACCCCATTCCCCCTGTTTGCCTTTTATGTTGTGGACTCGACCGTGCGCCCACTTCAGACCACCATAAACATGTCGGTCCCTGATGACAGAGTCGGCCCTGGGACGTTTTATATAAATTGACCTCAACTACAGCTCATTAGAAGCCCTAAATTGGAACCATGCAGCCTGGGAAGTGTAAATGTTACAACAGGAGAGTCAGTAGCTTCAGGGGGGTTCCAGCTGTACAGGTCTTCACCTCTGTGATGAAACTACTTACTTTTATTTAGAAAAAAGTGTTTGTTTTCCTTTTTCCAGACTGGTGGAATATGTAGTCTTACAATCATGCTGGGGATAAGGATTTTAACATATGTCTGAAATTGTTTAACATCTTTAAAATCAGTTTCACCTGTAAACCACTATGTTTATATGTTATATAGATTCACTCTTCGAATAAGACTTTGTCTGGCACTCAACACATCTGTTGTAGGCTTCATTTAGTCTTCCCTGAGGCTATCTCTCTTTTAATGCAGTGTCCTCCCACCTCAAGTATTTTTATTAGTCTGCAATATAGCTTGAATGACCTGACAGAACGAAACACAAGGGCCACTTGTCGTGACTTCAACTCTTGCACAACCTTAAGACAACGTCATCTACAGCACAGAGACTTTTGACGGACTGTAAAATATACTCAATGGTCAGCCCAGCTTCTCCTCTGCGTACGAATCTCCACATCACATCTTTCATCCTGCATCCTGCCTTAATTGGCCTCCTTTGTTTGACCGCCTCCCTCAATAAACAATACAACCACAGCTCCCCTGTCCTAATCCTCTCTTCTCCTCTCTACTGACTCTGCTGGAGCATCGCTCTCGGTAATTACCCCTCTCAAGCTGGAGAGTGGAGTAATTGTCTTGAGTGTAACTACAGTGGCTCTCTGAAAGGGGGTCATTGTGTGGAGTTAAGACTTCACTTCAGTGGACGGCTTTGTTTGTGCTGCAAAAGATAATGAAAGTATTTGGTTGGCCATGGTGAGGTGGAAATATAGTAAGATATGAAGAGAACGACAGTGAGTGATGAAGTGCGGAGGAGTGAGCTTCATGCTGAAGGAACGACTGCTTTTAATTTTTTTTTTGCATCTTAAAGCACCTTTTGCATACGAATAACACCAGTGAAGAAAATGCTTTTGAAATTTCTTTACTCTTAAAAGCACCAAAATTGTCATGATTCCACTCCACAACTTTTACAACATGTTTACCTTTACGAGGTTTTAATGCTTTATCGCTATTTACAGTATCTTATACACTCATTTCAAAACAGATCAGCACACAGTGGTAGTTCAGTTCTACCATGAGCAACAAATTCAGCTCTTATGTTTATGTTTCTTTTAACTGATGCATCATAGAGATCTTGCTCATTGTGGAAAGTTACACAAAATATAGAAAATACATAAAAAAAAGTAGAAAAATAACACACCTAACAATATCTATATATTGTTGTAAATATATAGTATGTACAAATAAGGGGAAGCCCTTATTAATCATAACTTTGCCAGGTGTGGAAGATTTCACAATTAAAAGATTATATAGAAATAGTTTACGCACACATCTAAATTCAAGATCTATAAATAAATCTTTAAAAACATAATCCCAAACTCCACGTAATAGCTAATAAATAAGAAAAAAAATCTTAATTTAATGCATTTTATTTTCTTTTTGGCCAGCTTCAACCATCTTGCGTTATTTCAGGCATTATATTTCCTGCAGGGTGCAAGATAATATTCCTTGTGTATAATTTAAGACATAAATTAGATTATTTATGTAAATATGAAATTAAATTAGACATAGTAAGAAGCAAACAGCAAACAAAAGTTAAATGCAAAACCCTTTACATCAACATGTCTTTGGCAACAAGAAGCAGTAAGTAAGACTGTCCATTGATTGTTTCAAGAATAATGAATAAGTATCAAAGTACAGCTGTAAATCAGATTTTTCTCTAGGCATGCAATGCTCCATCAACTCCACCATCCTAACCATAAGTCTCCTTCTAAAACTACTTTCCTTTTGCGGCTTCAGAGCTCTTTTCCTTCTGCTTTTGCAGATTAAATTTCCCCAGTGGTTTATCTCATTTGAAAGGCAGAAAATGTATAAGGCTAAATGTGTGCATGAGTGTGTTTACTTCTGTGTGTGTGTGTGTGTGTGTGTGTGTGTGTGTGTGTGTGTGTGTGTGTGTGTGTGTGTGTGTGTGCATGCAGGCATACTTTTCTATGTGCGTGTGCAAGCATGTATACTTCTCATTTCTGTACACGTGTATTTTCACATGTGCGTATGTGTGTCCATGTACATCCTGACTTAGTTGCTCATACTTGTGTGTATTTGTGTATGTCTGCATACATTTGTGCACTAGTGTATGTTTGCAGGCTTTGTGTGTGTGTGTGTGTGTGTGTGTGTGTGTGTGTGTGTGTGTGTGTGTGTGGTCCAGAGAAAATGAAATGATTGCTACCTGCAACATGTTCAGTCATTTATCATTATCAAGTCTTTTCAAACATGGTCTGACATCCTTTGTATGTCTTGAAACAAAATACTGTCTTTTTTTATTTAAAAGGTGATATTTTCACCATTACAACAAACCCACTGGATTGAAGACTTAATGAAGTCAGATCTCCAACAGTCCACTGCTGCTCTCCACTCCATTAGGTGTGCCAGTCTTCTCATCTCCATTGGTGATTTGGTCAGCGACAGGATTGGTGGGTACAGCGCTGGTGTTGAGCTCTGTGTTCTCTTCGCTCCTAGGATCTGTTTCGCCCTCCACAGCTACAGCTTTCCCCTGCATTGCAGAGTCCGCATGGGTCTTCTGGTGCTTTGAAAGGTGGTCGCTGCGTGTGAAACGCTTGTTGCACAGTAGACAGGTGAACTTCTTCTCACGCGTGTGGGTGCGCACGTGCCTCTCCAGTTCGTCTGAGCGGGTGAAACGCTTCCCGCAGAACAGCCAGTTGCAAACAAAGGGCCGCTCGCCAGTGTGCCAGCGCAGGTGGGCTTTGAGGTGGGAGGCCTTGCCATAGACCTTCCCACAGCCTGGGATGTGGCAGCTGTGGACCGGCTTCTTTCTCAGGGATGCAGCCGAGGCCCCCAGCCTCTCCAGTTCCTGGCAGTTGGGGCAGTCACATGAGGACCTGGTGGGCGCACCCCCTCCACTGTAGCCCCCTGAGCCCCTACCAGGCTTTAGGCCCATGGGACTCTCAATCAGCCCTGCACTTGGCACAGGCTTGGGCTTGTACATGTCCTGGGGCAGCATGTGTTGGGAGGGCTGGAGGAGGTGTGAGGAGGACCCCAGCCCCACAGAAGGGTAAGGAGCTGGGTTGAGTGGCGTAAAGTCGGTGCTGTAACTGGGCAGCTGTGGGCTAAGGGAGGCCTGGGGTGCTACAGGCTGCAGGGAGGCCTGGAGACCTCCGTCAGTCTGGGGCTGGGTTGCTGACAGCCAGTTGGAGTTGGGGTGGACATCCCACCAGGAAGACGTGGCATTAGCTGGAGCAGCAGTAATGCCAGGGTGGATACCAGCTTTATACCAGGAGCCATAGGGGTGTGTCATATCCAGCGAGGTATAGACACTGGTAAGGCAGTCGGCCGTAGCGTGGGCCTTGGACACTAAAAGAGACGGATCCTGGGAGACGGAGGTCTGGAAGGAGTGGGAGAAAGGGTTATATTCTGTAGTGTAGCCTCCGGCCGAAGGAGGGGGGCTTCCAGTGGGGGTAAGCAGCCCACCGCCTCCTCCTCCAGCTGTGGTGAAGGAGCCAGTGTAGGAGTCCGCCAGGCCACTGCCGTCTGCGGTCCGCCCGTTCTTAGCTGTCTGAAGGTCAGAGGTCATGTTGTAGGGTTTCTTTACTGGAGTAGTGCTGCCGGTCTTTCCGGGTGTAGCTGAATCCCTGACGGGGCTTGTGCTGCCAAACTTGTTACAGGTAGCAGTTAACATAGCCAGAGGACTGGAGCCATAGCGTGCGTCTTCCTGGGAAGGAGACAGGGAAGAAAATGAGACTGTCTGTCTGCAGGAAATGGCTGCTTGCTGCCGCTGCTTCTGTCAGTGTCAACTCTAATAAAAAACTTATGTCTGACTGCCACCGCTGGCTTTTTCTGCTCTCTCCGTTTTCAAAGTGGTCAGGGTAATTTCTAGCAGTGAATGTTTATGCTTGTGAAGGTTCTGCTCTGCTCAGCAAAGAAGGAATTCCCTTTTGCTCTTTTGTTTCACTTAAACCACTATCTACAAGCTATTCTTAATTTTGCATTCGTGTTTGCTGTAAAGTTTTGTCTTCGCAGGCAACATGCAGAGACTGACATTGTGTAATCATGAGTGCTGTAACATTGACTCTAACTGTTTCTCAGTTATAGCAAACACAGATATCTTGCCAAGTGGGCTTTTTTCTATAATGGTCACCATGGCATTGAAGACAAACTAATGGTATGTTGTGTCACAACAATCTCACCATTGTTCTGTTTAATTTTATTACAGACTGTACGTACTGTATGTAGCCTACTGTTGTCTCTGTTTATCATCATGTTTCATTCCATATAAACCTTCAAAATCTTTTAGAAAACAAATCATTTTCCGCTTTTTAATTGATTCTTGGGCATATCTGACTGAAACCCACTACCAAAGGAATGTGTAACACTCCCTTTTCTTGTATTTCCCTTTTCCATGTGGCAGGTAACTAACAACATATCAGATGTCTGTCTTTCTATTACTGTAACACCCTGTACACGTGGATATAACCAATGACAAATCCCTATTATATTCCTATAATATCTCTATAGAACTTTGCAGTGTTTCTACAATATGTAATTTTACTGATGTTATTGTTCTTTAAGTTTTATGCTATGGTATCATGAGGCTATTGTGATAATCCTACGGGAAATAAAAAGTTGTCTTTTTCAGCCCAGGCGCACTATATCTCAATTCAATCCTCGTCTATAGTTCTTGGCTCAGATATTATCATAACTTTAAGACATAGACAGAGGTTTTTCCATTCAGAGGTGGGTTAGGGGGGGTTTTCAGGTTAATAATGTTTCATCACAGACTTTAAGCTCTTTTGATAATGCCTGCTGTCCTCCTGACTTCCTCCTCCATCCACTGAACAAGCTCCCATGGCCATCTGAGATAAACTGCTATAAAGTTGTCATTTTGAGTTTGCTCTTGGATATAGAGGTAATATTCAAAGAGGAAATGTAAATGTACCCTCATGCACAGATTAAACAGAGGCTTAGACGTGAGTTGTAAAGTTTCATGGTAGTGAGGCAGTCTCACTCAGCAGCTCACCCTTAAATTGCTTAAAATCACCCACCATTAAGACCTGAGATCTTTCCTCATTAGTGCGCATTATAATGTTCATTATCCTGCTGTGTCACACATTTACAGTCAGCCATATATCATTCTTCAGACGCCAAACTACTCCCTAACTCCAGCTCACAACTGCAGGACTTTAATATAAACTCTCGCTGGAGGTTCAACAGCATTGACACAACAACAGTTAAGTAAGTGTGAAATAGAAATAGGAAGAAGGAGAAAAAAAGATCTACTTACAATTACATTCCCTACCTCCAGAATAGATGCGGCCATCCCTGAGAAACAAAATCCTAAGGAAGCTGAGGGGAGTGGGAGAAGCTCTGAGTCCCGGGACAGTTTGGGAGAAGTTGGGCACTAACGCGGGGAAGTGTTTTGAGGCACGGGGAGCCCGCCCCCTAATTACAGGCTCTGGGCTCTTTGAAGACTCGCTAAGAGGCAATAAAAAAAACCCAGAGATGGAGGAGAATGCACGGAGATTGGTGGATAGAAAGAGGGACATCCCACCCCCCACCAAAACGGAGAGTGTTGAATCATTTTTCAAGATAAATGCATGAATGGGTTACTCATCAATCACCATGCGGACATTATTTCAATTTCACTAGCATTATTTTTTCCACTGGGATTAGTCCAGTGGAGTCTGAGGGGAAAACAGTTAACATCATCTCACAAGAGAATGATCAAGCCTGGATTTATCCATCAAGAGCACGCTGTACATTTGTACTGCCGCTATTAGACACATTACTGTAAATAAGAAGTGAAAACAGACTAAAGCGCTCTGCCGTTTTCCTGTGAGAGAGGAAAAATAACAATAGAACATGTAGCCTCGGCCTGCGACACATAAATCAAAAAAATTAAGCTGCCCGAGTCTGTGGTTTCCATCCGAGATTTTATTATTCTGGTTTCAACCCTCTCTCTGTTTCCAATATTCTTAAATGCAGTTAACTGCCTTTTTAGACATTAACTGTGATGGTTAAAGGGACTGAACTACAGAGACAGGCGGAGAAGAAAAGGATCAAGTCATTAAATAAAATAAAGAAGAGATTATCGCATCAAATAAAATGAATTCAAACAGGCAACTTCACGGGGATGGGGAGGTATGGAGGGTGGAGAGGGGGGTCCTCAATAAGACGTTTGATAAAAAAAAAGGAAGAAATTAAAGAGGAGACATTTGAAAATGTAAGAATATAAAGTCTTGCCAAAGACGGTTGCGAAGTGGGTTTTTTTTCCAAATCGTCTCAATAACTTTCTGTCATTATTGATTTTCTGGGATAAAACTCTTTCAGAAGAAAAATGTGCATTTAGTTGACTTACCAATTTTAAAGTTGTATCCCCCAAACTGCTGCATGCATGTAAGCTAATGGCAGTGGTCTCTCTCTGCCTGTTAAACTAATTTAAAATGAGGACAAGAATCATATAACTCCATACTGACTCACTGTAAAACTTCAGGTTTATCAGTACTCCAGGGAATTAGTTATCTTTTATTTTAAATAAAAAGTAATTACCTTCAACATTGCAGGATTACAAACCCAAAGTTTTACTCTCTTTTTATATTATTGCCTGACAGATATCTTATAGCATATATTTACATTTCAAATATTCATACACATCATAGTAGCAACAAGCAAGTTTATGTAAGCTACATGAAAAATGTGTTCATTAAATGTATTTATTTTAAACAACTTCATTTGTTCCCATACAATGTAACTCCAGTGTCACAATGAACACATGAGAAAAAAGCTTTTCATAGAAAACTATTATTTTTAAAAAGAATATACTAATTTGAGTATTTGGATAAATAAATCTGCATTTAGTGAGAAAAGTCATATTATTCAATGTGCTATTATTAAACTGTGCGATGTTTAAACAGTGAAGATACATTTATTATATTTTATTGTAATCCAGGCTGTCTGTCAGGTATATTGCATTCATTTTAGAATTTCATTTATTTGTTGAAAAAGACAAAAACTCAACTTTCAGTCTCGAGTGAGACAGATTCAGCGCCTTTTTGTGGGCGTCTCGATTTCTGAAGGAGAGCACAGAAGATTAAAATTGTTGTCAAAAATAAACATATAATTTCTGTCCTTATTTTCTCCTCAATTACAGGGCATGGTCAGAGCTGGGCTTGTCGTTCTGGAGAGTCTGGCCCTCACATGAACACAGCGGCTATATTTGGCAGTCTGCTCTCCAACTGACCTTCATCGCTTTATTTTCTTATTCCAGAAGGGGTGTGAGTAGAAGAACAAAGGCTGCTATATGCAGTAGTTTACACTGTCACACACTCCTACAGCATTGTAGGAGTGATTGTAAAGTGTCATCTATCTATCTATCTATCTATCTATCTATCTATCTATCTATCTATCTATCTATCTATCTATCTATCTATCTATCTATCTATCTATCTATCTATCTATCTTGTGCCAAAATCCTCTGATATATAGCCTATGTGTTATACGTGGCAATCTTTTCACACTTTCTTAGAGCCTTTTCTTCCCCTCTCATTTGACACATGGTGTGTTACTTGTGTAAGTCTTTAAGTGAACTGTTCCTTTTCTTCTTAGAGTTCATCAGTACTTTATGTTTTACATTTCAGTAAAATGAGAGGGGAGGTAAGAAAAAAAAAAGCTCCTATTCTGCTGCGATGTGGTCCAAAATGGGCTGCTTTTCCTCATTTTTATAAGACTTGTAGTAATCTAAAACTTTGGCGTGTTCCCATTTACAGGTCTCTTCAAAAGGGAGCAAGTGAGATCTATAATTAGAGAATGCGTTAAGCTCTTAACAGCCTCTTCAAAAAGCTTTCTCTGCTCTATTTACTATTTTCTGCTCTGTGTGGTTTAGATTTTTGGGTATGTACAGTAGGCACTGAAGGCTTGATGAACCTCGGGGCGTTGGGTGGGCACAATTATGTTCCCCAGGGCTGATTATATGTTTCTTATGGATGGCTATTGTCCATATGACAGCGATCAGATGTATTAGTAGTTCCAGGTTTTTGTAGTATTGCTAGCTCATTAGCACAAGCCTGTTTGAATGCAACAAGTGGCATGTGAATAAACAAAAATCATTGCAAGCTTGTTTTCCCTTTAACAACCCCAACATTCATAGCTTTCTATGCTTCGGTACATATAACTCAAGTAAGCATGTTGCACCTTTGCCCTCAGAGAATTCTGGGTAAAGTTTTAACACTGCAGAAGTCAGACTTGTGTCTCAGGGCTGGGAGCTCAAGTAACAGATATACCAGTACTTTGTACTAACTAACTTTGTTTTTGACTTTATCAGTGTGTTTAATCGTTAGAGTGGTCTTAATGGCGAACACTGAACTTGTCCATATCATAGAAAAAAATTCCCCAAAAAGAAGAGGGTCTTCAAAACTTAAAACAAAAATACAATTATTGAATAGAAATGGTGACATTTACTTTGAAAGGGAAGGAGCCTCTCCTTTTTCTGTCAACATGAAGGGTTTTGTTTTTTTCCTAGGACTGTTTTAACCGTTGGATACACCTGACACAGCTGCTTCAAAAGCGTGGATTCACGAGCACAAACATTTATTCACATTGGCAATATGAATAAGCAACCCTTAAGACATTTACCAAAATTCTATACAGGCATACAAATGCTATAGGTGTATGTGTAGGATATTTGTTTGTTGTAATCCGTATTGTGCCATATACCAGACTGTCACAATCTTTCACAACCATCAAGAACAGAGACAAATGTTAATTGCAGTATTTTTTATTTTTTATTTTTATAGAAGTCATAATGTATTCCAAAGGCTTGGCATCAACTTCTTGTGCATTTTGATTGTTTTTATCCTTTTTCTTCCCAGACAATTATTCACTACAAACAAACAAACAAAAAAACAAAAAAAAAAGCAGGAAGCAATAAGACCAACATAGACTGTCTCCATCATGTTCACCAGTGGTAAACATTTCCGTGCAAACCTTATAGTCGAGCCACTTCATGCTGGCAAAGATTCCTCTGGTTGCTCAGCTCTACAGAAAATGAAACCACTCCCAGTAACAAGTTGATTGAAGTGATGGCAGTGAGTGCGCCATTTGTTTGCTTATATCTGAGAGGAGATAGTCTACTCCTTGTCTCAACATAGTTTGCCTTTTGCTGTTGTCACCACTGGAAAGTGGTGTTTAGAGCTTAAGTGGCATAAGTTCTTTGTCTTGTGTGCACAAGTGTGTGAAAGAGAATAAGAAGATAGAGGTGATGAAGCATGCAAAGGCTGATGACTAATTGGGGAATGATACAGGGCTAGAGTTTCGAATTAAATGTTTCTGTTAAAACTGGTATTGAAAACTGTCAGGTACCAAAAGCTGGTGATGCTTTTTTTGAATGCTTGTTTAGTTTGATTAGACATGTCCTGATATAACCATCATTTTGCTAATGTAGACACTGTATTAAATCGAACGGTTGTAAGTTTGTGTACGGCTGCTTTGTGTTAAGATAGCATTAAACACTGATGCATTCAAGAAGTTTTGAGTATCCTGTTAAAGTAAATAAAGTAAATATAATCATCTTCAAACTATGGTCTTTAAAAAAAAGTCTAATTTTAGTATTTGTACAAAATTTGTTACTGTTAACAAATTATTTTGAGTATTTTTATTGAAGTTCACTTCATAACTGCTGAAATTACATCCATTGCAAAGGACAATGCTGTTTGCCTCAGAACCTGGACAACTGTGTGGCAGCTTACATTAAATAGTCATTCAGAAAACAAGAAAAATGTAATCTGTGTAATCATTTTAATTTTAATTCATTTTAGGTTTTTCCACATAAAACAGTCCAGTTTTAACTCTTTCTGCTTAACTATCTAAATCATGATGTTTTCACTTCCATTAAATATCTCCGAAAATGTTTTACAAAATATTGTTAGCAAGTTTTTTTAGAACTGATCTGAGTACCTACTTCATTCAGAATTTCGAGCAGTGCAGGCATGCGGTACTCTCAGTAGCTTCTTTTTGTGCACTTTAGTACTAAGTTCATCCAGCAGGCATCTTTCTTGAAATAGTAGTGAAAGCTTTGCCAGATAATTCGTCTTGGTGGTAAGACGAAAGCACAGCAGCAGTACAAACAAGCATGAAACAAAGCAGTGGGACTCCTCAGATGTCTATACATTGACATCACATGCTTGGTTTTTAATGTATCTTTCTTTTGGGGGGTGAATAGCCTTCTGTTTTCTACATTTGTTCTAAATTGGCCTCTTGGTATCATTAGGCCATTACAGCCACCAAGTAAGTGTGTATAATGGTGGATCAATGGAATATCTCGCCATAATGCATTTCCCTTGACATTCCCCTCTGGGCTGCAACCCTCAGAAAATTAACAATGTTAATAATACTGCG